ACCTATGCATATTTGCTTCCTATCCGATACTATTTGCGTGCTTCTATCCTATTCTATCCTATTCTTATTCTATCTTATTCGGTTTATGCTATCCGGAGTCGATCCGAGCGAGGCCGAGTCTATCGAATGGCTGAGCGAATGCCAACCGAGCAGAAGCCTAGCGAAGCCGAGGCGAAGGCATCGAAGCCTAGCGAGAGAAGCCGATCTATCTAATCCTATCTAATCCTATCTAATCCTACCTAATCCTATCTAATGCTATCTAATCTAATGCTATATAATCCTATCTAATGCTATATAATCCTATCTATCTAATCCTATCTATCTATCTATCTATCTATCTACCTACCCTACACATATTATTTATGATTTACCATTGATGAAACACCATTTGGCCAGAATTTATACGGCTTGGTCGTTTGATACTGCTGTGAACGACATCTCCTGAACACGGGAGCCACCAATCCCAAAAAGATGATCCATTGCAGTTGAAATCACCACGGCCACACTGGTGTCCAGCAGAAGCATTTCATGTCTTCCCTGCGTTACTAAACGCTTTCGCATTGCAAGACCGAACACAAACCCTTTATACATGTTGATTTGAATGATGTGAGACATCTCGACATCTGTGCCCCAAGCGCATCTCACTGCCAGAGCCAACTGGGCCATCAAAATATGGCGGTGACTCACTTGACGCTGAGAAGCACCCATACTTACCATCGCAGTACCATAATGCAGGAAGAGCCATCGATGTGGCAAGGTATCTGGAAATACCTGGCAAAATCTAGAAGGATGGGCCCTAAAATTGGGTGTGTCGCCCACAAGAAAGTGGTTTGAGCCTTGAACCAACAAAAATGGTGATGTTCCAAATATCAGGATGGAGGTAACTACCAATGTTCCTGGGTTGATAGGAATTCAGCCATGTTTTGAAGTAGCACCTTTTTGGTTCCCAACTACGACTCAAGCAACCAATCCATGCCTTTTGATCTGGAGGATTCTGATCTTTCTTTACCGACCAATGTCATTTCAAGCCGACAGGAAAGTTCAGCGCGCACCCGAGAAAGCAAGTTCTAGGTACTTTGGGGGGAAATCCATCACAAGTGAAAGCGACCAAGATGATGCAGCGTCAGCAACCTTTAAATGGGTGAGATAGTCGAGGAATATCTTACCTGGAAGGTCATCAACCTTGAATAACACAAGAACCATGTGCCAAAATGTCTCAACCACCCCCTGTACCATCCCAATGTATAGCAGCTTAAGAAGGATTCCGATAGGGGGTTGTGCCTCTTTGACGTGGTATGACGATCCCGGTCTCAATGAGCGTATGCCAAGATAGGGACCTTGATTAAATCCTCATCTTGTTGGTAGAATCACACTACACTCTTTTGAAGTTAAGTCCCAGCTGTTGCTGAACTCAGCATCTTTGTTGCTTACTGCAGGGGCTCAACTGGGTATAACCTCACCGGCATTTCAGGCACTGCCAAGCTATGCCAAGATACAACCAACAAGAGGTAGCAACTACTCAATATGCCCGCAGGCCAGTCACTGCGTCGCTGCCACGCGAGCAGCAGTAGGATGCCTTCCACTGCAGGGCATAGTGCGAGGACTAACCAACAATACCTCGGGCCAAGACCGACAGGTTGGAATAAATTTGGGATGAAAAAATTGAATGATTCATTGAATCAACCGTGTTTTGGTAGGTTCATGTGCCAAACATGCGGGATATATATATATATAATTATAAATATTTAATTTGACTATTTTCATTGGAACAATGATTCCAATGATGGTAAAACTGTTGATCCTTGGGTTCCATTTTTCGGATTAAGGGTTTCATGATGTCCAGTGGATGGATGCTTCACCAGTTTCAAACTTTGCAACCTGGCGTAGTCAGCACCCAAACACACGCTGTTGCCAAGGCTCGTTTGCCCAATGATACGAGGATTCATGTCTGGTTCCAAGTACAACGCGTTGAAACCTCAAGTTCATTGGGTTTTGAAGGATGTTGAAGGGAAAACTGATAGCTGTAGGAAACTATGGTCCCACAGTACATCAAACCAGGGCATTAGTTTTTTTTTCATGTTTTTTCGATGGTCTTCTTGCAATTCGTCACTTCATGTTAGAATTTTGGAAGATGGGCAGTGAAACTGTCATTGTTCACTACACTCAGTTCACCCATTTTCGCAGCCGAGATGCTTTCCGAGATCCAACAGATGTATGGTAAGGTGCCACCACAAACACACTTGGACGCAACAAAAGGAGATTGTCGTCCACACTGGACCAAGGCATTTCCTTCCCATAAGCGGAAGAGAAGCACCTGAGTGGACATGAATCTGCATGAATCTGGGCGAATTAAACCTTTTTTGGGATGGTTCCCCTTACAAACCATCAATCAAACTTCTGTCATTGCAAGGTACCAATTTATCCAAATGGATGCACAACTGCATCATCCAGGGAGGAATCATCACTAAATGAATCTTTCCGAAACCTTGCAAACCCACCAAATCCATCTAAATTTCTAAATCCAATGTGTTTCCCACTCAAGAAACATCCATCTTGGGTTTGGGGCATCCAATCTTGAAAGGTACTTTACTTCATGAGACCCCCCACCGTGACACAAACATCCTGACAATAATACTGACATACACATATCCTGACGTCCATTTTTACATAATTTCTGGCGAATGAAATCAATCTAAATATGCAAATGCATTCTGACCAAGAAACTGAAACATGTCCTGACATTGATTGAGACACCCTGACATTTATTGTCCTGACATTTTTCTAGACAGATACTTTGACATGTAATTGGAGCAGGGTAGCGAGATCTCCCTTATGTGCTTTGCCATATCAATGCATCAATGTTGATGGTGATTGGCAGTGATTGGTGTTAGTTGCTTCTGGGGAAGTTGATGTCGAGGCCGCTTTATGATGATTTTGGTTTTTGAAACAAACTGATGTTCGCGTGACCTTGAAGTCGAGGTTGATCAGCAGATGGACCCAAATACTTTTCAAGTCAAAACTTTTTTTTTTCCGAACATAACGTAGCGGGTGAATTCGGGAGAAGGTATTGTCCAAAAATCAGCAGTGCAGAACTTGAGCTGCAGATTCTTGGAGGCTCTGGTCCCAATTGTGCCCTTCCCAACAAGGGAGTGATCAGCCCCCAATCAGGATTGATGGGGGGTAGTTGTTACCTCTCAAGGCCTTGTGTGTTTGGTTGGGTCTTTAGAGTGAAGGCAAACAGTTTGGCAAACCCAGCGGGATCTGCCTTGGGGACTCGTTTAACATGCCTCAAGGCAGTGGTACGGATGATTTTCCTCTGTTTCCAGGGATGATGATGGTGAGCAACTGTGGCCTACAATTCCAAACATCGCCGGCTAAGGATCGGCTAAGGATGCTAAGATCTAAATCTGCAGATTTCATTACAAATTTAATGTCTTCACTCAAGTGTTCTGCAGTTCCCAGTTCTGTTATGGATCCAGAACATATCTAAATAAACATCAATAAATATCCCTTTAGTCTGGTTGATTGATATAGGAGTGTGATAATATCAAACATGTGTAACACATGACTAAACATCAATAAATATCCCAATGATCATTGGATATCCCAGGATTTTCCCTGTCCTCTCTGGATCCTATTGATCCTACGCCGAGGAACCACCACCAGAATTAAGGCGAAGGCTAAATGGCTCCTGGGATGTTGACAGCTGGGAAAATCAACGAACTTTTCATGGTGGATGTTCCACCAAAGCATGTTGGTAAACATTGTTATTTACTGGAGGGTAACTGGGGTCTAGAACAGAAAAAACATGAAACCACAATGACTCCTTGGTTGAGTTTCTTAGTTTTTCTTCTCAACTTCTGTGATATCAGCCCCAAACCAAAACTTGGAGGACAACTCTGGTTTAGAAGTCCTGAGATGTCCTGAGGAAGTCCTGAAGATCCTGAAGTGAGGTTATCTCATTTCTAGTTGGAGTCCACAACTCTACTTGGAATCAGACATTTTCGGATCCTCTGAGTACCATGGATCCCAGTACCGGGCAAATTCTGGGATGATTCCCGGATGATTCCCCTAGGCTGAGCTTGTTGCCGGTTGTGTTTCCTAGAATTTTCCAAGTCACTTTCCCCAAAAATCCATTCACATCTCCACTATATCCCCATGTTGAACTGATGTTTTTCCCGAGAGTGATTTTTCCCCACCACTGTGGATACATTTTTTTTACACCATCTTGGATGGTTGAAACATCTTGAAACCCTATAAATCATGGGATTTTTCAGCCTATCAACTGGTGATCACCGGATTTCCCAAGCACTGTAGGAACTTTTGGCCAGCCGAGGGGCAACACCAAGAGGCGCAAGGACAAGAGCCGTAGCTCGGCCCGCGGCATGCACGCCATCAGCAGCTGGGGTTAGGATTTCTGGATTTTCGGGCGATGATTTTTATGATTTATGGATATTTTACGATACTTAGTTTAACTTATGTGGATCAAAGATCAAACTATTTATGATATTTATGTGGATCAAAGATCAAAATGATGTTGTAGTTATTTTTGCTCTGATGATGCTATCTGATATTCTTTATAGTTTATAATCTCAATCAAATTACAATTGCCCACCAGGGACATGAGTTCATTGATAGCTTCGAAGCCATGTGCCCCCTTGCTGTCAAAGTGGCTGAAGCACAGGTTGAGACACTGCAGTTGTGATCCCAAACCGCTAGGTGGTGTTGCCAATCATGATAGCTGAGACACGTTTCAAAGCATGGCCAAACTGTGTTACACTGGGTATTTCGAAGTGGAATATGACAAGATTCCTCGGTCAGAACTAGACCCATTCACCAACGATTCACCACGCGGTTTAGCCCAGAAATGTGTTGTACCTCGATTTATGGCCAGATTCATAGGCTTCATAGCGAAATGAAGTTCCAAACATTTCTAAACCATGATATTTAGGGTGATGACCCAGCATTTATGGCCCTTTTGACACCATTTTCATCACGCTTCAAGGTCGCCGCGGCAATGGCAAACCTTAGGGATGCCGGTTTCCGCAGCGAGGGATGCAACATGGTTTACTTGGGGGGATGCCCAAAAAAAGACATTTTCACCGGTAAAACAGGCAATTGACTATCAACCATGGGAAAAAAATCAGCCTATGGGATTGAAGAAACAAAGACGTGCAGAATTTTACTGCATCATCAATGGTAATGCCAAACTTGGCATGACACACATACACACAGTGCGTCCAGCTGAGGCCAAGAATTAAGAGTCATCCATTTTCTACAACAAACCATTCACATAACCCAGGTTGACCCAGGGCCCACGATTTTCACAGAGGAGAATCCACATGATTTAGTCCCTCTCAGGTTTGATGGCCAAAAAACCTAGACCTTTCGAGTTTTTTGTGGGTAAACATAAGCCTACCTATAATGTGGTTAAACAGTAATAAACTACCCATTTGGCAATGGTAAACATACCACCTATTTATGGTGATTTGGGGGATGGTTTATTCTTGCTTGACCGCATTAATGGTAAACACCATCATTTTTTGGCTCGTTGATGGCATACCAGGTGCCCGTGCCCATCATGGGTGGCATCAGCGGCAGGCCGGGCGATAACATCGGCCTCGGAGAAAGCATCCCCGTCAGAATGAATGGTGATTTAACTTATCCATATTATCCATGTATGAATATATATATATATATTATATCTATTGGATATGGACTATTGGATTACATTATATAACCATGGGAGTTTGGAGATCAAAAAATGAAGGCCTAACAAAAAAAAACTAGTTGTTTAACCATCAAACTTTGGATTTTCAGCCATGATAATTGGGTGCTTAACCATCCAACATGGAGAGAGGGAAAGGATGCCAAACAGTCCCCATTTGAGGCCTGCTTTGGTATTGGATTTATTCATTTTGGTGGTCCAATGCAGTGATATCTAATCTTAGTTGCAAATGATTGCAAAACCATATATATATATATATATAACTATATATATAATATATATATATATATCATATATCCACATATCATTTGTTGGGGGCACATAACCTGTTTTGAGGGAATTGGATGATTTTGAGCCATAGCCACATTGCTAATCAATGTCCTAAAGTGTGTACTGATCCACTGCCGGGGGTAGATTTGCATAGATTGTCCCTCTGAAAATGGCAACCGCCCTACCCAAGAATCTACCCAACCAAGCTTTACCCAGAATGGTTTTCATACTGTCGGGTCTACAAGCACCACACTGAATAACACTCAATGTCACTCAATCAGACGTCTGAGAACACACTTGAACATGAAAAGAAGAGATGACATCCACTGTGATCATCTGCAACATAGGGACAGTGATCATGAGCAAGACTTGGGTTTTAAACCACCAAAGAAATTGTCCCTGACAGTCTGGAATTGAACCAGCAACCCTTGATGTTTACGTAGCTTAGGCCAGGCATGGCCGTCTGTGTGCCGCGCATCATCGTTGGCATTGGCATTGGCACAGGCATCATCGGCGGCATGGTGGCCGGCATGGTTGGGAGGATGGGCCTGAGGGCAGTTTAGGGAGCCCATGACATTGGGACATTGGGACATTTCAATTGATGTGGGTTATCACCCAATTTTTATGGTAACATGGGGCAAATGGGGTATGGTTTACCATTGGGTCTACTGTTGGGCTTACCACATTACCAAACATCTGGTGGTACCTAAATTACATGTTTGGTAATGCCGACCCATCCCCATAGATGTGATACAAATGATGGATATTCACCAATCATATAGAGATGTAAGCCAGAAGCATCGATACCATTTACCATGGAGATTGTAAGTGTTGACCCAGCCCCATGTCATCCCATGTCACTTTTCTCTGGAAAAAGCTGCCAATACTTGACTGAGTACCGGGCGGCCGGAGCACCTATCAAGGGTCCAATCAGGTTTCGGATGCTGAAAAACCATTTTCAAGAGCTGGTTTCGGTCGCTTTAACTATGAAAAGAGCACAATATGCAGCCAAATTTGGGCTGGTTACTGCATCATAAACGACCATTTGTGGTACTTGGTGGACCATCAGTTCCTCTGCAGTTCCAACCCGACCTGTGGCACCGCTGCTTCCTGGAGATGCGCTGATCTGCTTGGATGATTTGAGTTCGCCGAAGTGGTTTATTGACTCAAATGGTTGTTAACTCATAACATGTTATAGCCCACTGACTATCATTTCCATGCATTTCCTGGCTAGAACATGATATTTGTTAAAATTGGTCCCGTTTTCAATTTGGCGGGTGTAGCAGTGTAGCACTGACCTCCCATCCCAAAGAAACCTTGCCAGAATACATGGCAGGACAGTTCATAGCTGTTGGGATGTTCTCCGCCAAGTGGGGACCCAATCATCCTTTGATCACCCTTGAACTCGGTTGAGATCCCCAATGCAGGTTTTTGAAAATGTTGAAACCAATCTTCAATCCGAAAATCAGCATTTCAATGATATGGATTCTCCCTGGATGCAGAACATCAAGAACAGGCCGAAAGCAAGCTGTATTTCCTGCATTTTCCATTGCCTAAACACTCCATAAAAACCAGCAACAGATCAGCCAACCCAGGCAGGGCACCCTCCAATTTTCCTCTGCCACATTTCTGAGGCAATTTCTCAGCGGTTGTGATTTCAATTCTGATCCCATCCTGAACAAATCAATGCTTCTTTGCCTTCGCCTTCTTCGCCTTGTGATGTTTTGTCTTGCGGTGCAACGCCTGCAGAAGTGGACAGCATTTCCTGGGAAGGCGCAGTTTCAGAGCCAGCTTGCGGGAAAGGATTTGAGAAGAACTTTGGTCCATCCCTGAACTTTGTCAGTGAATTAGTGACTCCTAGTGACTCGAGCATCTCCATATCTCCATGTACAAAATCCAACGCATCGGGGTTTGAACCCAAAAACGCAGGGACTGGCAGGGATCATGGATCATCTCTGCTTGCTTGGTTGGTCCAATGGAACCATCGCCACATGATGTGAACTTACGGCCACCGTTTATCCTTGGATTCCCGGCACACGTGAGAAAGAGTTGTTCCAAGCGTCAACTGGCTGATGGTACCGGTGACATCGCCGTTGCCGCCAATGAAGATATATTTGAGGATATCAAAGTCTGGGTACCTGGAGATAGCGAATCTGATGAATGACTGGGGAAAAAAATGTGTGTGAAAGAAAGCAACAAAAGCTGACAATGATACAATGAGATTTTCCAAAGATACCCAAACTGGAAGTACCTAACATAATGCCTATGCAAGGCCAGAATTGAGGGAATATGCCCCATACCTACCCTAGAAGGCCATTCGCATGAGATCCAAACCATTGCATCCGGGCCCCATTTCATGGACATGGTATCAGGTACCAGGAAATCAACAGTGCCACCAAGAGCTTAGTCCGACAACTGTTGAGCCTTTTTGGCTTGTGACCTCATAACAGGACGGGAAAAGGAACTTAAGAGACCATTAAGAGACCATCAGATGTTGAAGACCACATATTTTCCAAACTTCCAAAGCCCAAACGTCGCTTCTTCAATTGCGATCCTTTTTTGTTGCATCTTTTTGCTGTGTTGGTGCTGGGTAGCCTGGATGAGTTTGATGCTGGTGAAGACCCTCCCAGAATGAGGGTGGAATCCAATTAGGCGGACAAATTCGAATGGTGGTCTTCCCTTAGATCAAAAAATCAACTGGCGCCGTTTGTGAAGCTTTGACCTTCAAAAAATCTAAGCATCACTGCAACGCTGAAAAAAAAGAAACACATGCTGAAACACGTTTTGGTGTGAAAAAAAAAACGAGAGGAAGGTCGAACGAAGCCTGTTTCATTGTGATGGCTCAAGGATAAGGTGGGCCGGCCGGGTTGCTTCGTAAAGTCAAACTCAAGGTAGTCCTCAGTCTTCCCTAGGGATACCTTTCGCGATTAGATCACATTAGATCTATATTTTGGAATTATTGTGGTTTATTGCAGGTTTTACAAACCCAATCTGTCAGCTGAGTGACCAGTACACCCTCCGCGGATGTCCTGTCTGGTAGATATCCACAGGTTCACCATGATCAACGCGCGGTCGAAGTTCCGTCACCTTTTGCGCAAAGGCTTCGATTTGCTTCACCCCTCAGCGGCTGGTGCCGGGATGGTAATGGGAACATGGACATTTCGCAGCAGAAAAGCAGTGGATTTCGTCTGTGGAGAACTGGACAGTTGGATTATAACTGGTAGAAGTGGGTCTAGGCTCATACAGCTATGCGGCAAGGGGGTCAAACCCTGTGCACTGATCAAGGAAGTTAGGATTGTTGGTAAATACCGAACTCAAAATCCAGTATTAACCTGTGATACACCAAAACTGGCTATAATCCTTCCGATTTCGTTGATCTTGGGTGATTTCGGGGTGGTTCTCCTTCACCCATGGCATCCATGGCCATGGCAAAGGCGGTCAAATGATCTTCATGGAATGCCAACTTCGATCCAGCCTTTGGGACTTTGGCCAAATTCGAACTGCAGACCTGGTGGGTCGTCCCCATGGAAGAGTTGATTCCGAGTTGATCACTATTTCGACGTGGATTCGGAGCCCCAAAAACACTTTGTGAAAACTGGAAAAGGATGAAAAAGGGTATGTGTGGGACGCTCACGATCACTGATTTAATCTTTTCCACAGCATTTGCAAGAATTCGTCGGGGTTCCAACCATCCGATTTTTTGGGACAGGATGTGGAGACGATTTTTGTCAACCAGAGGAACCCATCCCAAGGATTTTCCATAACCATCGACCACCTTCAATTCCGATATTATCATAGCCATAGAATTTTTGCATCCACCTTTATATGGATAACTCTATGGATAAGTCATGATAAGTCATCGCCTTCATCCTTTGAGAGCTGTTCATCGAAGTTGGTCTTGAACTTCTCCAAAACACCTCGCCCGAAGGCACAGATATTGGAGGCTGGACGGTTCACGGCGCGATACTCCTGGCATCGCTCCATCGCTCTGAAATTGGGGGACTAAGTTCAGTTCATCATCCAACTTTTCCATATGGCAGTGTGTCAAAACCAATAGTACCCCTGCTAAGTTCACATCAAAATAGCTGGGATTTATGGATGTGAATAACCCACTAAAAATGGTATTAATAGGTATTGACAATTGATCCATATCCATATTTTCCCAATGAAAAAATGTGAATTGGGTACCCAATTAATGAAAAAAAGGCCCAAACGCCTGTTATCCCCCAATTCTACCAGCCACACATGTGGAAATCAGCAGAACATCAACTTTTGCTTTGAAGCACCAAAACGAGAGGGCGATTCGGTAGCTTGATCCTTCATGCCATAGATATGCCATAGATACTCATTCAATTATATCCCCATTGGTTCTAGCCCCATGACTTGTTTTTTTTTTTTTATGGGGAATACCATGCCGCACAGGAGTCCTGCTGCTCGACGTTCCCCAGCGAGCGAAATTTTTCAGGAAAGCCAGCACCTACTGTGCTGGTGTCCAGCAGGTAGAGGTAGACATTGGCCAAGACGTAGGGGTGTTGTCCTAAGTTTGGTGGTCAACCCATCAAGCACTGTTGCTTGTGCAAGACCTACTTAAACCACTTAAACTTGAACTTCTGAATTGACTGTGGTTGATATATTGGCCAACTAGGGCCCCAATCATAGCGGAAAAAACCTTAAGATCCTACCCTTCCAGATGCAGTATGGACGGACAGAAGAATGAAAACGAGGAAAACATACAGCTGAAACCGGCAATTAGTCTCTATAGTGCCACAGCATCGATAGCCCCGTCAAATCATAGTTTTCGAAGGGCGTCTCGATGTAGACCATGTCGTTGTCGGTGTAAATTCGATCTGAATCCTTAGAGGTCAAATGCTGAAGATTTTGCGCATGCTTGAAACTACCAACAATATTTCTTATCACTAGTGTCAACCCCAGATTAATAACAAGTGGTTGATGAATTAAGGAGGGCAGCCTCCTAAGAGTCATCATGTCCTGTGAGACTGGATCCCCCAAATTTGCTACAAGTAGGCCATTTTGGTTCACTACACCTGTCTGTTTTTTTTTTTAACACCGTCGTTTTAACCCGCACTTTCGATCCTAAAAAAAACATAACATAAAAAATACAAACACATGTTCGAAACCACCAGTCATCTCTCCAGTTCTATGGGTTATATCAGTATATATCAGTTATATCCCCAATCTTCTTGTTGGCAGTGTAGAAATGACTAGAAATGACGACAACATTTGGACGAGAATCCGCCCCACCCACCACGACGATCACATCGCTGAAATTGGCGAAGCGAATGGCACGCATCGAGTCCAGGAGGATCTTCAAAGGCATTTGGTACTTCCTCCATGGACATAGGCAGAGAAAATATCACAGAATATCCATGGACAATCCATAGGGAAAAACTTGGTTTACCTGAAAACTAGCGTGGACACGAAGAAGTGGCCATTTTCAATAGGTAAATCACCTTCCAAGGCCTGGTTTTGGGTTCCACCAGAGCTTTCTGCATGGTGAGGTCAGGATGGGAGAAACGGGAAGTAGGGATCTGGGAGCGGAGGAATTTCTGGCATGGGGATCGGACATGATGTGAATCTATAGCGAAACAAAAAAGGGGATGGACTCAATCAAAATTTGAAAATTTGGGACTTCTGATAACATTGCCAGATGACCCACATTGCCATTAACGTATTAACATCCCCGATGAACGCATCTGATTTTCGCCAAGCTTCTTGTTGGAATTGATGACCAGTTTCACCGGTGACCAGTCGTCGTCCGTGCCCGTGTTGCCGTCATCTTCTAGTCGTGCCGAGAAAGTAGTTGCCAAAAACATGGCAAAAAGCCATGGCCGCATGAAATTTTTCACTGCCCCTCCGGGCAGAAAAGACCTAATATGAACACATTGTGCACCCAAGGTGACTGCGAGCCGACATGATGAGGTGGGCCCAAAAAAAGGTGAAAAAAATGGTTCCGCAGCATGCAGGTCTTTCCATAGTTGGGACATTTCATCTTCTTTTGGCCAACAGCCAGCCATGATTCCTCAACTAGTTTGTCTGAATCATCAGGTTAAAATCTGCAACCAATCAATGAGCGAGCCATGTTTGCTGGTAAAATCCCAAGTTTCTCCTGTCGCTTCACCCAAAATTAAGGGGCATCCCCCAACGGTGACCACCAGCACAACAAGCAGACACTGCCTTAAAGCAGGGGGGATGCACCCAGCTCTTGTGAAAAACTCCGTCGTTGCGAAAAAAAATCCAACAGTTTTCCCTTCGGAAAAAACCTCGAAAAATGACTTTGTTTATTGGTTATATCGCCAAATATCGTCCGTTTTATTGGTGCTTATGTCATTTCCACTGTCCATTTTTGTTGGATATGTGGTTTGCCAACCAACACAATTATCGATATTTGCACTTTCTTTAGAATCTATTAGAGTCTGGGAAAAACAATAATTAATAAATTCCAATAGTTGTTCATCCATATACCCTCTGCCAAACTAACAGAGCTATGGAATATCACCATTTTATAGCTGGGTAAATCCACTATTTCGACTGGGCCATGTTCAATAGCTTTTTGTATGTTTACCAGGCCGGCTACTTATCATATATTAACCATATATTAACCATATATTTAATAACCATAGTATAACCATATTTGTTGGGTAAAACTGATAGTTTTCACCACATTTTAACCACACATTTCTGGTGTTTTTTTCCCCAGGAACCTCCCCTCCGAATCCCCGTCCTTTGGCTTCACTCCATTGGCCGGTGGACCGGGCGGACCCGGTGGACCGGGTGGCACCTCCTGGCGAAAACCACCATGAAACCACCAGAAAAAATTGGGAGATATTTGGGAATATATGAGAAAAACCATGGTGATATGATAGGATTTAACCATGGTGATTTGAATTTGATCATCGGATCTGCCATGTTCAAAAAAATGGTTGGTCGATTTAAGTTGGTGATGGTGCAACCTTAAAAAATCATGGTCGTTTTCCGGAATGTATCTCCATCAGGTTGCCTTCAGGCGACTCAGGAAACCCAGTTTTGAGACATCCCCATGAAGGGTTAAGAAAACATCCAATGGTAGGATACTTCAGACCTTTTCAAGACATTCGGAAATGAAGAGAACAAAACATGACATAACAGTATTTCTAGTATTATAAAATCTTATCATATTTGTTTCATCACTATATTCTCTATATTTAACAACCATAAAAAATCACCAGCCCCAGGCCTGTCGTGCTGCTGTGGCCGGCGCCGGCTCATCTGGTGGAGGCGGCGGAATCGTGCCTTGTTCTGGTGAAACTGGCCATGGATGCCATGGAAAAATGGGGGAATTCCATTTCAGTACCAGTGAGCGCGAGTTGTGGGTTGTATCTGTACATATATATATATATGTATATATATATATATGTGTAAAATATCTATACATGCACGTATTCATATCTCTATGTATATATATATATACATGCATGTATGTATACACATTATCATCAGGAACAATAAGTCTGTAAATTTGTCGTTGTACAACTCCTTTCAACTCTGGCGAGACTGGAACGGGTTGATTAGCGTGCAACAACATCATTCACAGCTGAACTAGTGATGGAGGCCCTCCTTCTTGAGGGCACATCGCTAAGCCATTGCACCTAGAACCCATCTATTTACCCACATCTAAAGAGAAAATGAGTACGCATATAACATGCCAATCGATGGAAATGACTTATATAACTAGTACAAATCATACTAACAAGAAACATCTATGTATCAATCGAATGTATATGTATTGTGACCCTCCAATTCAATATGCCATGCTATAATGTTATATAAATTATATACTTAAAATATCTTAAAATACTTCAAGTATTTCTCCCCAAAGCCAAGGCATTCAGCGGATTCCACGTGATGCCCAGTGACGCACCACAGGGCCATCCTCGCTTTTGGGCGGCTCCGCCTTGTGTGGCTCCAGATTTGCCTCGGTAACCAGGAATCCATAGAGGGATTCCAATGGGATTTCATGGGAATTTCAGCAGGAGTGTAGCAATATCTAGCAATAAATAATGGGATATAAAATGAGAAAAGGCTTGCTGGAAATCAGCTTGAATTTGGTCCATAGTGGGTATCAAATCATGGATATGCAATTGGTTTTATGCCGGTAGTTTGCGATACAGTGGTGAAGCAATGAGAATGGGGACGACACTGGTATCATGTCAATGGAATGAGGATAGAATGGGAGATCAAACTCATCAACAACATGATATTTGGACAGTTACACACCTTTTCTTAATCTGGAAAACACACAAATTTGCTAGAACCCACCACTTGTAACCCTTAATCCATCAACATCCATTTCCGATGGCTTAGTGACCTGTGATAGCCGGATCCACTGGGCGCCCAGTGGCCGGTCGGAAGGCCTTGCCGGTGCCATCCTCCATCCGCACCTTCCAATAGCCATTGCCCTGGCCGTTCAGGGGACCTCAAGGTATCAAATCAGATAGAAAAATCATATGTTTTCATGGTTAGATCCGTGTAAAATCCATCTTAAATCCATATTTTGATGGTTAATTAACCATGCAAAATGATGGCTATCACTGAACATGACCATAGGACCAAAACAAGATATTTGGAGGTCAAGAAATCTGTTGCATTCGGCGCAGTCACCAGCGACAAAAAAGGGGATATCGGCCCAACTAATGGATACCAATGGCCTGAAAGAATCGATGCCATCTATGGATTGCCGCTAAACATGATCATTAGATGGGTTATCATTAGTATGATCATTAGATGGAAATTTATCTTGATCATATTTTAACCAAAGATCTGTGGTTTGATTTGTTGACCCGTTTTGTTCACAGGGAAGGCAGAGTCCCACCTCGTCCCACTCGATGAGCAAGCCAACCTTGCCGTTCAGCTCGCCTTTCGCTTTCAGACCTACCTAGATGGCGATGCCGGATCCCCACTTGGGGGCTACCAACCATCAGTTTCTGGGATTTTTTGGGATTCTTGCTGACAAACAATGATATATTAGCTTGATATGCCTTGATTTGTTGGGTCGGAGAAGATCATGAAAACCACGGTGCCCCCTGGAGATGTTGACGATAGTTAACGTCGCGACGTGATTTGCATAAGGACCCATCCCACTCGATGGCTGAATAATGGATTAACGAATGATGGGAAACTAAAGAAACTAAGCAATCACGGCAAAACTGCAAGTTCAATGGGACAATTAAATCAGAATATATATATATAATTATATATATATAATAATATATGTATATGAACATATATTTATATATATATCTATCTATATATATAATTATATACATATATATATATAATAATATTCATGGGCTGAATGATTTAGGGTACATGGATGGAACCAGTTTGAAACCAACTTCCAGTTGCATAGCCGAGTAACAACTCGGACGAACTGTCCTGCGGTAAACTCCTCAGTGCAGAAACACACTTGCTTTCAATGCTGAAATTTCTAAAGTTGAGATCAATCATTTGTAAGTTGGGTATGTTTCCAACCTATCTTCAATAATCCATGTATCATCGTGTTTCTGACCTGCACATCATTCCAATGTTGTATGGGCAATGTTTTTAAAACCTGCTAATCATCCCATTACTAACCATATTAACCATACATCCACATCAGAGATCATCCTTACAAGATAAGCATTCAAGATTGTGTCCTCAACCTTCCCAGCCATATTAACTGATGCACCATGGGACAGAGACCCAGTGCTTTACGGCTCCTTTACGGCTCCTTTACGGCTCTGTGTGATTCATCCAAGTTTCATGCTTCACCTTTTTCTTCTTTTCCTGGCTGAAGTGCTTTGAGCGCTCAGGGGCACCACATGGGCACCAGGGGGCATCTTCTCTTTGAGCTTGCCATTGCGGTTAAATGTACAATGGTTCATTGCTTCTTAGATGTATGACAGTCATGAACCCCTTGAAACACATAGCATCAGTCAATTTATTGTCGTGAGTCATGATCTAATGTTGGAATTCCCAATCTTCCATTTTTTCGATCTAGCTCAAAACATGTAGCTGGCTCAATTTCATCAGGGGTATGTTTTGACAGTCACCTTGGGCTTTTTCAGAGGTACCATATCTAGTACTAAAGTAATCAGTGGGGATTGAACCTGGCAATTTAATGCAATTTAACAGATTGGGAAGTTTCTGCGAGCTCGCTCAACTGCAACGAGCTGGCTCAGCACCATCGAGCTCGCTCAATGCCACGTAGCTGGCTCAGGGGCATCGAGCTAGCTCAATGGCATCGAGCTGGCTCAATTTTTTTAGCGGAAAAAAAAAAAAAACCTCGCAGAAATTGAGCCAGCTACGTCACGTTGAGCTGGCGGACGAATGTGAGAGCATCAAAACGAATACTAGCTATGTATTGGCCGGGTTCATGACGCATTGGCGAGCCGGCTCAAGGGCATGTAGCCGGCTCAATTTCTGCGAGTTTTTTTTTTTTTCGCTAAAAAAATTGAGCCAGCTACGTGGCGCTGAGCCAGCTACGAGGCGCTGAGCCAGCTACGTGGCATTGAGCCAGCTACGTGGCACTGAGCCAGCTACGTGGCACTGAGCCAGCAAGGTAGCTTTGAGCTTTGAGCTAGCAAGGAGGCAGTGAGCCAGCAAGGTAGCTTTGAGCTTCATCATATATATATATATATATACACCTATGCAATCCCAACCATGTAATATACTAGATCTAGGGAAAAGCATTTTTTTTGAGGGAGACACGTACCTTTGAGCTGGAGCGGGAATGTGAAATCTAACATTGTACATGATCCATCATGATCTTTCATAAGGAAAATAGCACCCCAAAAGATATTGGAACCTACTGACATCGCAAACACTCTCAGAATTTATCCAACCACCTGGTTTTCATCCTCTTTTTTCTTCTTTTTCTCCATTCCCAAGCAGCGTCACAGGCCACTGCGGCCACTGCCCCGGGGCATCGGCCAATTCGCAGCTCCCCAGCGCTGCATCGATGCTGCCCTCGAGGCGCCGGCAACGGCGCAGCGCCGAAGGCCACTGCAGGCAGCGGCAGAGCGCGGCCAAAACGGCGCTGGAGCTGATGGCGTTTTTTTGCAGAAGGGCCATCCTGGGGATACACTAATATATATATATATATGCCTAATAATAAATCCCAATTGGGGATGGTTTATGATGGTGGATGTGGTACTAATGAGCCATCCCCAGGGGTTTATTGTTGGTTCTGCTTTTGGGGATGGGATGGGTTTAGGGTTGGAGAGAACTTGGATGGACATAAAACTTAAGTGATTTTAACAATAGTGAGAGTTTAACAAACAAGAGAAGCCACAAGAGCCTGAACATGATGCAGGTATCTGATTAACAACCATAGGATGGGATTTATCCTTATGAATTGAAACCACCAAGGTGATTAATATACACGTCATTCCCCATGAAACAGGCCTCTGGAGCCCAATAATCCATGATGGTCTCCATGTATCTACCAATGGCAGGGACGCCCATCGCTGTACCATACCCACTGTTGGTAAATTCCTGACCTGTTAAACCATCTGGAAAATCAACTTTTTGTGGTCAATTAATTAAAAGTAATCAATATTGTTGGTGGTTGTCCCTGTTGTTGTGGTCATTTATGGTCATTTATGGTCATTTACGGTCATTTACGGTCATTTACTGTCATTTATGGTCATTTATGGTCATTCAATTTATCTGAACTGCGGCCCAGTAACTCCATTTGCTGCAGTTGTTGCACCGCCCAGTGCCACTCCCGGCCCTTTTCACAGGCCGAAAGCGTGGCGTTGAACGTGACCACGTCGAGGGAAAGGTCACAATGTGAGGACGTCGAGGTCAGTTGCTGGAATGCTGTTTGCCACATGCCGCTCTTCTCCTTAGATTCCGTAAAGGATGGTGCAAAAGAATTGCAACCATCATGGGGCTATGACCAACCAACGGGGATAGCTATAGGTACTTTATCTGAGCCAAGTTAAATTTTTCAACCAGCTATAGAATAATAGGTATTTTGCGAACCACGGGCAATAGGGACAGAGGGTCAACAAAACCAAAATGCGTTTGAAGCCCTCAAAACTGACCACCTGATCTCTTACATCCCATAAGCTCCTCATTGCATTGAGACAATCCAACTTGCTGACCTTGCTTACCTTGCTGACCATTGGATTCAAACTTGGTAATCGGCGAACACAAACAGCACATGCTTTGTGATTTTCCACTTCCAAGTCACCAAGATGCATATCTTTGTTAATTTAAATCATACTAAATTACCATTTTTGTTGATTGAATCGCCATATTTGGCAGCTCAGATTCCCATTTTCAAGGAGGCACAAGGGGCCACTACCCGTTCCGCCCAAGCGTCACACGCGCTCAGGGATGAGTTGAAACTGATGGTGCTGGGTCTGATCTCTTGAAACACGATGCCATCAAAGAAACACCTCAGGGTTCAAAAAGACAGGACCGATAGGACCAGATTCCCTGCGATACGGTCCTTTCTTTAGATCATACCCGCTTCTGCAAACATTAAAATAAATATGTCTAAACACATCTAAACACTCACACACACACACTCTCTCTCTCTCTTGGATAGATGTATCAGGATATGCACGAAATCAATCACTTGGCAAACTATCATCCCTTCACTTACTTGCTGGGTGATATGGATTACCATATTGTATTAGGGCATAGTCACCGTAACACAAACACTAGAATCAATCCAACCACATTTGGAACAGACAAAAATCTGTCAAAGCAACAAGTATAGCCTCGCCATTTTACTAACCATCAAACACCAAACACCATTTGGCAGCACCCACTTCAACGAAGCATGCTGCAATTTTTACCAAGGTGTGATTGACGCAGAGGATATTGAATTCTTAATCAACAAGAATCAACATAGGGAGTTCACCAAGAAACATGTGATTTTTAGTGGAGGAGGGGTACCAAATTGGGAGTTGAACCAATGGATGAATCAACTGGTGTTTTCCTGTTTGACCCACACATTTCGATCGCAATTTTTTGAGGTCCCAGGACCATCCAATTTCAAGGGGTCCATGGTTTTGAGGTGTTGCCAGTTGATGTGGCAAAGGTCTTTTCCTAGCTGCATCCATTGCAGTGTGTTTCACCTTGCAAGAATATAAGAACCAGCAGAAATTCGCAGGAACTATTGTAGTTGTTTTGCCCGTAAAAAGGGTTTCACCAACCAAAACATCACTGATGGCGCCAAAGTGCATGGCGCCAGCCCAACGATGTCCTTTCTCACATGCACTGATGATGGCATTGTAAGAAATCACATCCCTGGTCCAGCAACTGGCCATCGCAAAAAGGGCTTCTTGCCAATGGCCTCCTCCAATTTTCCCCAGGTCTGAGACCATAGGACCCAAAATCATGTGGCCGGTGGTGAGTGGTTTTCAGGCATATCAATTTTCAATGGGAATCAAATTTGGTGGCCCAAAATCCTACAAGATTCGCACGCGAAAGACATGATTTTGGCCCACATTTTGACCCCAAATTTACAATTTCCAGCGGGTTGCCCTAGATGGAACTCCCTTTTTGTCGCCATCTAAAGAGGACGTCCTTCTTCCGCAGCGCTGATAGCTGCATTGCGCATGATCGAATTGTCTTGAGATATCTGTCGTGCCTGAGGAGCCACGGGTGAATTGCGGATGGCGATTTCTTTGGATCATTTGAGTAAACATGAAAACATTACAGTCATGGCAATAAAAACGAGGTTTCCCATGACGCTTCTGCGGAATGTCAACTTTTGATTGGCTGGATGGCTGATCAACCGCAAACCCCGGTGTAAGCATTCTGCATTTGCCGGTTCAGGCTGAACTCGGAAGAGTGTCATGCAGAAATGCCCCACAAGAGCGCCTTGTAAGAACGTCACACAGGAGTGTCTCACAAGGCCTGAAAGGTAAAACTGTACAAAAGTATCGTCCAAGAGTGTCCCACAAGTGTCAAACAAGAGTGTCTTGTAAAAGTCTCGCACAAGAATGTCGGATAAGAGTGCGTGACAGGATTGTTACACAAAGTGCCTTACAAGGGTTTCCGGCAAGTGTCCCATGTGAGTAGCCCACGAAAGTGTCCTGCAACTGTGTTTCATTCAGAAAAGTCCCTCACAAGTGTGTCACACAAGAGACCAACTCTTGAGGAGTGTCTAGAACACGGTCTCATAAGTGTCCTGCAAAGAAAGTGTCTCACAAGAGTGTCCAACGAGCATGTCCCACGAAAGGGTCAAGCGAGAATGTCCTACGAGATCCTACGAGAGTGTCTTGCAAGAGTGTCCACAAATATATCCGATAGAAGAGTTGTGCCTCTGAAAAGAGAGTCTGTTTATCACAGACTGTCTTATGTTCGCGTGCTTCATGAAAGTGTCTTACAAAAATGTTTAGAATGCCGTTGAAGAGTGATACTATTTTAGCACGGGAACATGCTTGTCTTTCATGCACCACTTTTCATTATGATTGCAGGTTCATGGCCATGTCCAAAGGGTCAATGGACCGACCAAACCTTTGAGCCACTTCCGGTGCCTCTTCAAGCAACTGCCAAGCACTCTGCCAATTTTGGCACATGGCAGAGGTGTAGCTGATGGCAGTTCCTAGTGGAAAATGACTGGTGAAAGGGACAATTTGAAAACAACAGCTTTCACCATCTAATGTCATCTAATGTCTACATTTGTTGGGATTTCCGAAGGATTTCCTGTCAAAGTCTCCTTCAATTCTAAGATACTCGAAACATTCTTTGGGATGTTCGGCCTCACACCAACAATTTTGCAAAGAAAATCCTCATGTGTCTGCAATTCGCTTGTGTCCTAGGAATCACTTTGATCTGGGGATCTTCCACCTACCCACCCGGTAGGGGAATTTGGTTGAAGGTAGTGGAATCTTCCCATTTCCAATAGGTCCATTGTCATTGTCTGTCTGGGAGATGTTCCACGCCATGTTTGGTAACAAGAAGGTGTCACCAAAGGCATGCCATCGGCATCAATACGGAAGAAACACCAATATATTCATGAGAAAAAGAGAAGCACTAGGTCCTAGGTTGAAGGTGGCACATCCAGGATGCAAATGACAAACTTCCTTCCAAACACCTAAACACTCAACAATCATCAACAATCTGCACTAAGTATAAGGGATTTCAGCAGCTTTTCATGATGACTCATGGGAATACACTGCTGCAAAGCAGTGAGATCCCCAAGCACCAAACCGCACCATGTTACAATGTGACAACCATACCTAGCGTTGATGACTGGATAACAACCATAACAACCTCCTTTACAAGTAATCTACTGTTTTATGTCTGTTTCATGCCTATTTGTCCCTATCCACTGCCAATCGCTGAAACCATGTTACCAGAGCTGGTCATTTAACATAGCTGGGCCCCGTGCCCCATGGCCCATTTCTATACGATTTGCCATGATTTACCGGGTACGTCCCTGTAGGTCCCATTAAAGAAAAATCCACAAAAAACACCATGGATTCCCCATGATTGTTGGTTAAATCCATATTTTTTCACAACATTTAAGACAACCAGCCTACGGCGTATTTCCTGAGTCCTGGGGGTTGCAACCCCAAATCATGAAAAAGTCAGTCATGTATGACCATGAGTTAGTATTGAAACCCACTGGTTGGGCCACTGGTTGACCATGACTTACGAAACCCCCATAAGCCATTATAACTGGATATACAATACCAAATTATACTATATATATTCTATATCCCAGTAATAATATGGGATATTTCTGGGATATCTACAATATCCCCAGTTAAAAAATCTGGGCTTAACCAACATCAGCCATGTCAACCAGGAGTCCCAGTCCCTTTCCACATTTTCCACCGCTCCTTGCATCGTTGCTTTCAACTCCCGCAGCAGTTGCAGCGTTTTGTCCCAGGCGACAGCGGCCACTGCGGCGATGCTGGCGTTGAAGGTCACCAGATCCGGCTGAAGCGGCTGGAGCCCGTGGAGCAAATGCAGGGCGTAAGGCCAGGCCTTGGGAAATCAACGGTTGGCCAAAAGAAGGTTTGAAGATGTTTGAAGTAGCCAATATGGGGAGAAATGGAGAAACCAAAGAAAATTTGGAAACAGAAAAAAAGGGGGTCTACAACTAGCAATGGGGATTCAACGAACATGAGGACATAACGCAGCAATGAATGGGCTTTTTCACCAGTTAAACCAACAAAAGTGTGGATTGTAAGAATGGCACATCATCAGTCAAAAGGTGATGCAATGGAACATGCTGGGAGTATGGATGTTGTTGGGGGGCCCGAAGTAGAATGGCTTGCCATGATTGGAGCCACGGTGCCCCAAGTTTGCTAATCAACTGGTAAGATTGAGCCATCTTACCAGTTGGCCATTGTCAGTTCAGGTTTCCTATCCTGATATTGGTTGTCTAAGATCAAGCCCAGTAAGTCCTTGTGGAGGAACATCTGCAATTCTGTATGATTCACTTCACAATATACAGATGTTCAATTCCACAGAGGTTCTAAGCCCATATGCGCTGATACCATGTTTTGTGTGGCCTCACATATTCGAGTAACAAAAAGGCTTGGTCAATCCATGTCAAGTTGGGATCAATCCATATGCAATCTATGGCAAATTATGGGAACAAATATTTGCTCCTTGATTATCCTTTATTAATAATATGCCTATGTGAATATGTAATATGTAATATGTAATATGTAATATGTAATATGTAATATCTATATTATTAATAATATGTAATATGTCTATGTGAATAGAACTTCACCCACTCAAAGTCTATCAGACTCAATTGCAAATGAAGACATCCAAGGATCTGTCAGGGCACTGATGAGCGCATTCTTCATGGTCAGCTCGTTGTGAAGTTCTTGTCGGGCCACCAGTTGGAGGAGGATCGCCCAGGACTTTGTTTCCTCGTTGGATAGTGATGGATGGTCGAATGGGCAACTGCGGTGTTGAACATCTTTGTCCACCAAGAATGGATTAAGATAATACTATAAAACATGTGAAATCAATATCGACAGAATATCACATCAATATCAACCACATTTTTCACACATAAAAACATATAAAACCAATTCACCAGCCGCCATGATCGCTGAACGCGACCAGTTTCTCAGTTTAATCTCAGGATCTGCGGCGTTCAAATTGGCAATGTAGCTACTGCTGTCAGAACGCACCAGGCGCAATCGCATCTGTTCTAAGAGGTCGAGGCTTCTCTGCCAGTCAAAGAGCTTCATGCTGGTGTTGTAGCTGATCCTGAGGGATATGGAGGGTTTGAGATGCTCAGACCCCTCAAACATTATGCTTTACTACATAAATCTAATTTAAAAGTGGATGGCTTTATTGCATAAATGATGGTCCGTCTATTTGACATCCAGTTCCTCCTTTTTTTGGGTTGCGTGCACCCCGCTGTGTTCCTGCTTGTGTCCGCCTGTTTTCTCCATGCTGGTTGGTTGCATCAACTATTTTTGGGCAAACCAACCTTCGATAGCTATCTCCCATTACTTGTTTGTTGTATTCAACATTCTTTAGTTGAGAGTGGCTGCTCACATGCGTTGAACCCCCCTTTTAGCTGGTTCTTGCCCCGATCTTTGATGATCTATGTCCCACTTTTTTGTTGGTTGAATCACTCTGTTTGAGTGATTCAAGCCTCATGTTTGCCATTGAATACCCCATCCACACTGGTGAGATCCCCGTCTGAAATAGTTGGACCAGTTGCATCCACCATGTTTTGGATATACAGATTGTATCCACATCCCAAATCCACCATGTTTTGCAGCGGCTCAAATCAGTTTGCAGCTTGTCTTCTTGAACATCGTGCAGAAGCTTTTGGGCGGAAGGCCAGAAACGACCCTGGACACCGAAGATCATGGTATTCACAGTGATGATGTTGCTCCTTTTTCAAACACAGGCGATGTGTCAACATTTGTGGTTCCCAGGGATGAAAGATGGACACCCAAAGGTCATGCTGCTGCACCGACATGTTGACTTTGTTGGGAGGGGCTGGTCATCGGCACGTTTCTCTGTTTCAAACCTTTTGGGAATCAGGCCACAAACTTTCAGGATCTCTGTATATCTGTTCGATGATGTTTGATGAATCTAAAGGAACATTAGCAGGAACCGGTGGGCTCTTCCATTTTACCAAAACTTAGGGGGTTGTGTACAAACCAACGTTGTCCGTTGCAAAGGATGCAGACACATATCTCCTGAGGTGTCTCGAAGGCATGGCCACCAGCATCTCAACAGCCTCCTGGTCAAGGGGTACAATCCACTATAGTCACTATGCCTTCTGTTATGAAATGTTATGAAGGTGACTATGGGGATACTCATCCCCATTTGTGAAGATCTATCCCACAAATAACCAACTATCCCCATCTATATCCCCATTCTATCCCTTTATCCAGCTGTCCATGACGTGGCACTTTCAGTGGGATCCTGCCACTGCCGGCTGCTGCTGCACCCGTTGAGGGCTGCGTTGCAGGAAATCGTGTCCTGGGCGAAATGGTCCCATCATGTCCCATCATGTCCTCGCGATAAGGAAATTGGAAGAAGCTGATGAACTTGGGATTAGAATGGTTAGATCTGGATCAACCATGATCAACACTGAAGTGCCACCTTTTCAACCAAAAACCCGCTGAATCGGGTGGATCTCCAATAAATGGAAGAACTAAAAAATGGTTCCTGTCGAAACGCCATGTGTCTGGTTGTAAGTTCCTCTCCAAGAAGAGGCGCAATGAGTTCTGCCACAGATCAGCTGCGGCGCATGCAGTGATGGCGGTGCTGTACCTGACCCCTGGGTGACCATCTCAGATACACGACTGGAGTTATAAGTGATGAGGCATGGTTCATATACCAGTTGTATATCGGGAGTGTAATCCAACTGGTTATCATGATCTGGGAAACGTAAACATCACATTGCTGCAGTAAGGGGAAGGTGACCCAGGTGACCCACATGCATCGAAGCACTACAGGTCAACGCGGGATGGTACCCTGCTATGAGTCGTGGTACCCGGGCAATATGGCCTTAATCGAACCAACAAGTTTGGGAGAAACTCCAGCTATCGCTATTTAGAACCCCATTTGTATCTGGTAGTTCGAGCCCGACATGGAGGTGCAGTCGAGTTGCTGAATGATGCTCTTCTGCAAACCTCGGAGCGAATTGCCAATCAGGAGCTCCAAAGTTTCTTTGTGATTTATTACACCACAAGGCTTGGTAGAATTGGGTACTGTATGCCAGCAACCAGCATATCAAATAATCTTATGTGGTAAACATAAGACCGGAAAAAACAACGAGGTACACATGTTATCTTCATTGTCAACAAATCATTGGATGATGTTAAACCTCATTTAAGCTGCTACTATTTGATGATCATCATCGAGTCACATTGCTCCAGGTGAGAGTCTCAGTAATCCAGAAGGTTATGTTGGTATTCTTGACCCTAAACCCTATGCCCTATGAACCACCCTAAACCGATATGTCCGATGATATAGCCAATGTAATATGAAACAACTATATCAAAGGAATATTTTCAGTAGATTTATGTCATCCAATACTATAATCCCATGGTCTTAGCTTGGTATTTTTCATGGTAAATCCCTTAAATAACTCCTACATGAACTCAATACTGTCTGGAGTCTGGACACCCTTCTCCTCCACTCTGGCTGCCACATTCAGAGCATCCGTCCAACAGCACTTGGGAGCCATGGAGCAAAAAGGCGCTGCTTGAGCCGAGGGCACGTTGCGTTGGTAGCTCAAGGTTTCACCAACGTTGGGAAAAATGGGTTAACCAAGCTAACCAAGCAAAAACCAGGGTTTAACCAAAGCACAAACGATGTTTCACCCGCCAAGTTGAGGCTTCAACCAAAATAAAATCAGGAAATCTGATGCCAAACATATCTGTAGGTTCAATCATTGAGAATGGAAATGTCGACCATTAAATACTCGCACGGTGATCAACGCATGTGGGGATTTCACCAACAAGAAAAACGAAATCTCATAAAATATGTTCAGCCATGACTTTCGCGCTTTCCATATGCAAGAAAGATGAGACTTGCCCTAGGGCCGTTAGACAAAGTATAAGAACAAACATCAGCGCGCCTTGCCCTTGTCCTTCCCTTCAGGTTTCTTTCTCTTCCCTTTGCGTTCCTTCACGACAACGCAGAAAATCATTGGGACTGATTCCTGTCCCAAGTTATTGATCCCAATCATCACAATAATGGAATCCTATTAATCCCCATTGATCCTATTAATCCCAAGTGTTATCCCACTAAGGTTAGAGGCGAAACCATCAACTGCACCTGCACCACCTCGACTGCCTCCTGGGCAGGAATGGGGTTGGTAGTAAAAAATAGATCGCACACCATAACACACATGTAAGTGTAGTTAAATATAGGGTATCTAAGGCTAGACTAATACTTATGTGATTCAGTGGCAACAGAACAACTAGCGAAAAAAATGCAAGAATGCCAGGTCTGTTTCCCAAAATGTCTTGAAAACATTTGAGAGAATCGGAATCAACCAAGTTAACAGTCAAAATATGCGCAGCTATGGGTGTCAACATTGGAAATCGTGACGTGCCTCAAAACCTCCAAATCATGGCATGATTTCACAGAATTTTAATCAAAGGCCACACAGATCTCTCCATTCTGGCTTCCGTCTATCTGTCCATTCATCTATATCTACCTATATAGATAATGTAATCTAATCATATGCATGCACACATGTATATATATATATATACATACATATGTGTATATATATGTATGTATATGTGTGTATGTATATGTGTGTATGTATATGTGTGTATGTATATGTGTGTATATATGTGTATATATATATACATATACATGTATACATGTATAAATATATACATGTAGTGCAATGCAATGCAATGCAATGCAATGTCATTAAATCTGTCTGATCTGTGTAATATATATATATATACAAATATGTAAATATGTAAATGCATGTCTATTACACAAACCAATGCACATATGTATGTTGTGAACACACATTTAGAAGATTTTGGAAGTATGTGCCAGTGGAGGTGGGATGCTTTCGATTCTACTAGTTTGTGGGCTCTTTTTTCAGTGACCTTTATATCCTTTACTCAATTGGACATGATTCAGGTGAGAAAATGGCATTCCATTGGTTCATCCCTTTACACACGTGGGATCAAATCGGAAAAAAAAGGATGATCTATTACTAAAAGAAACAAACCACTTGTTTAGTTTCAAAGCAAACATGTCTATTGATGCTGGTTGAAACATGGTGAGACCCATCTACGAGTCATCCCCATGTTGCTCAATCAACAGCTAGTCCCCGTTTTGCCGCTTGAAATCCAAGTTTATGTTGCTAAAACTCCATATCCACTGTTATGTGGTATTATATGGTCAATATCATTTCTGGATGATTATTATACATTATTATACATTATTATACATTATTATACATTATTATACATTATTATACATTATTATACATTATTATACATTATTATACATTATTATACATTATTACGAAACATTGTTAATAAATACATAAACATCCTATCTACTGTGCGCCTCGGATTCTGTCAGCTCGCTGGAGGGCGAATCGACACCATCGATGCTGAAGGTCAGGGTGGTTTGCAGCCTCAGTCATGTCAAATTCCATGGGAAACGGAAAATAGGGAGCACTGAATATTGGGGTATTCGGTTATTAATGGTTATTAAGCCTACGTTTTATGATAATTCACGAACCTGAAAAGAACTGATTCTTGAGAACTTCCATGTACTTCCCCTTGGCCAACCATGGCGTTGTGGTGAGATTGCTATACCCAGCCATAAGTGGCTCGTCACCAAGTTTTTTACTGTGGGGCGGATTCCTGCATTGGTCAATTTGTGCCTAAAAATCAACTGAACTAGCAACTAAAGTATCTAAAGTAAGGTTTGCCAAATGGGTGTGGGAGGAACTGGGTTTTTCACTCCAAAAACGGTGGGTTCACACCAAAAGAGGCTGAAATTGAAGGAGATCAACACACCTCTGATTGGTGAACTACCTGGGGATGGGTAGTTAAACATATGTGACGGAATGGAATGGAATGGATTAGCCTCTGGTTATTTCACATAGGGAAAATCACCATTTTTAATAAGTAACGGTAAATAGGTAATTCATCCATATACAGAGGTTTCTCAAGTCGTGTGGGATCCCCAAACCATGGGTTTCAATACGAAAATGGTCTAGGTTTGGATGATTTCAGGTACCCCCCATTTGAAGAAACCTGCAACCACCGTCCACTGTCCCCACATCAAGGAGCTCCCCCTGCGTCGGTCGGATGCGAAAGGGCAAGGTGATTGCTGCACCCGAAGGGAGCCTCAAGGGGTACAACCAGGATCAAACGACCAATATCGAGTGATATAATCTGTATCAACTATCTGTATACCAAGGGGCATGGTTTCAAGAACACTATCTTCTTGAATCAACGCCACTGTGTCAGATTGGTTGGTCAAATACTCAGTTTGCTGCATTAATAGACGTTAAAATCAATGTGGCACATCCACAAGCATAATCCATTTGCCCGGATGGATCCGGATGCAAAAATATCAGCCATGACCAGTGCATCGTTCAGAGGGCCTTATCATCTGACCATCAAGATATTCAAACTCTGTCGGAGCCTTATTCAAATAATGATCATCATGATTATGATGAGTAGTACGATGATTATGATTGCCATATAGAGTAGTATGAGTTATTTCCAAATATTTACGACATCTCTGATGTACTGTATATAGGTTCAAATTATTGATGGATATGTTTTACACGTTTTTTTACTGTTACCATCCAAATGTCAATGCAGGGCTTTCCCATCATTTTGCCAATTGACTTAATTCTCAATTAGTTTGTTTGCACACACCGACCGTGGCTGTTTCCATTGAAAGTCACTCAATCTCTTGCAGCGAGGATGCCACGTTATCATTGTCGCTGCTGTTCTAACTCCAGCTAATTATCACATCAGTGTAGCTGGGCCATGTTCAGCCCAAACCCCGAGTGCAGGTTGGATTCTGTGCTTTTGGCCACCTGATCAAATGCACCAAGTGGCTCTGTGTCCACTTCCTTCTCCACCTGTCCACCATCTGCAGAAAAATCCGATTCGACATGCTGTGCATCCTGAAAACAAGTGTAAAACATGAGTTTGGAAGATGGTCGTTCTACTAGAAGCTGCAATTCTTGGAGTTCCAACGTGAGTTTTGATGGGGAACAGCATCCCATTGGCCCATTGGCCTATTATGAGCTATCCTTGAAACAAGTGGTACAGTATCTTCAGTTATGTCAGTTACCCATGCTTTCCTATAGATTTTCCCCAGCGAAAACAACGATCTCCAATGGCCTTGGTCATGGTGTCGTTGCGACCAGATCGCAGCCCAACGCCATTGGTGGAGAGATCACGCAACAACAAACCACCGGTCTCTGGCCTTGCGATGCCATGGATGCCATGGATGCGGATCCTTGTAATGCTCCCAGAATGGATTAGAGAGTGTAAATTCCTTCCACGAGTCTGATAGAGATTCACATAATGGACTCTATATACATATATATATATATATGAATATATGAATGAATCTGTATCCAGAAAAAACTACGCGATTTCCACCCTAAAGGACACTTAAACAATATGGGAACCACTGGACCCACAGAATGGTTCAGATTGGGTCATTGACCAACTTTGCCATAGAGGTACGGGTCAAAATTGGGACACCCAAATATGGGATGGTACCAAAAAAACATCATGTCTGGGTTCCAAGGTAGTCTCTCTCTAATACCTGTTACAACAAGGTCATTCAGCCTTAGCACAAGAAGTGTTGCAATGTCTCGGCTTCGGAAGGACGATCCGAGGGAATGCCTTAGGAAATCCCCGGCAGAAAATCTTCACCTCTATAAGGACTGATGGATTTCTTGTGCTATGTAGATATAGCATGTAGAGAAAAAACTCAAAATTCTACTCCCCATGTGCAGGATGGAAGAGCGTCCCCAAATGTCCATTTTCCACCCGGTTTTTGACCATCTGTGGTCCCATTTCGAGGCACACCAAGGGACGAGAATTTGATCTCCAAGTGAACCCAGGAAACTCCAGGTTTATTCACAACAATCCCACCTCGGGTGAAACACAGGTGTCCAAAGATGCTCATTCTACACAGCATGGGGTTCTCCTAAAAACTACACCATGACTGGGTGCTGTTTGGGTGTATCCCTGCAGCGTCACGAGGCTTTTTTTTTCAAGTGGCTTCCTGGTAGATGGTAGACTCTGCAGGCCATGGCAATGGCTGATCTTCCCATTTGACCCCCAACAATGCCCAAATTTCATCCCCCAACTGTGTGCTGGTGAAATCCCCGGATCCCCATTCTGGCTTCGCTGGCCATGGCGGCCATGGCACTTTTTTTGTTGCGCCCCACCTTTAGCGGGTCATCTTTCGCACCTGTGATGGCCGGAGATGGCCAGAGATGGCAGGTCCGGAGTGGTGATGGACGAAATGGATAAAAGACATGTGAGACACTGCTACATCATCTATTCATCGTTTTTGGGCGTTTCAAATTTTAAAACATGTAAACATCTGTCCTGAATTTGTGCTGGCAGTCTGGGAATCTCCTTTTTGTTTGCTTAAGTGACCATCTGTGCTGCTGATACTATGCTTTGCATTCCACTTTAAGTGGTTACACAATGTTACATGCCCGTAGTTGATTTCCACCTTGCATGGATCACCATTATTTTATTAGAAGGGTTATAGTTATAGCTGTATCCTTGTTGTACCCAGTAGACCATCAACGTTTGGCGCGCCGATTTTGTGTGTTTGTTGGTCACTACCGAAATTTCCATGGCCGAAGTATGTTTACTAGCATTTATTGGCTATTGCCTGCTGGTTGGATATCCATGTTTACTAATGTTTACCCATCATTAGCCAGTAGCCAATTGAGAACTGCTGATGGTTTAGAAGTGTTCCTTGTTGGATCTTGTTGGTATGATGTTGATCTTGCCCATTCCTACCATCATTTTTCCAGAAGGATATGATATTCATCAACGGGGCTCAAAGTAAATCAATAAGAACGAACCACCAAGGTCTCTCTGTCATTGATGCTGATTTCCCAGTCATAAGTTGCTGAAGACAAACCCATCTGACGATAGATATATGCACCATAAAACATACATTAAAACCAAATCGTTGGCCTAATTTATGACTACTGTCTTACCTACCTTGGGGGCCCCGCACCCATTTTCATATCAATATTCAGTAATATATTCAATAATTCATCTCCCATTCTTTTTGGAATATTAGTATCTAGTTAATATTCCATAGAGATGGTTATCCCATTAAAATTGAGCTGGATTATCCCATAAAAATCACCGAGCTGCTCAATTGAAAATGCATGGGCGTCGGATCGTCGCTGGTGGTCACCGAAAAGAACACGGTCAGCGGCTCGTCCATGGCGCCACATGGGAGGTGGGGCGCGTCGGCGCGGTGGCTGAAAACGTGGGGTCAATGGAGCAAAGGTGGGTGGATTATTGGGAAAAAAACCGTGAAAAACGATGAAAAAACAAAGTTGGTGGATGTTGAATGTTTAACCAAAGTTGGTGAAATGTCGGGAAAAACCATGAACAAAGCCTAATCCTTATGAGTTGGGCTATTGAGTTTCAAGGTCCAGCGAAGCAGAAACTTGGTCTTTTGAGGGTAACCCTTCCAGATTGTTCAAACCAGAATAACGTGCTCATATTTCAGGTTTTATCGTCTGATCTCTGTCTCTTGGTACAGAAAGGATCATGTCTTCATAGGTTGGACTTGCTCAAGTTGCCTTCGCAGAACCTGTTCCAGATTCCCTGACTGCTGTACCATGAACCTTCAGCAAATCTACGCCATGGAGTCTAGTGATGTCTAGTGTGCATTCGCAATTGCCGGTCTTATTCTCAGCTCGTAAAATGTCCAGATATGTCCAGATCATTCACACGTCAATCCTCGCAGCTTGTCACCTTCCAGGCTGGAAAATACCCTGCGAAGGGCATTTCATAACTTACCCAGGCGGGGGATGATCTTTCTGATTCAATTTTTTTTTCCAGACAAACAACAAAAAAACATAAAAAAAACACCAATCAGAAAAGAGGGTGTTCCCCATTATGTAAAGTCCACCGCAAGTCAAAGACATAAAACATTCATGTCCTTCTCTATTCTGCCAGCCTCAAAATAGTACTTGGACCCAATGCGAAACCATGATGTAGCACAAAACCGACTCTGTAGTTACCATGAGTCAAACTTGGGTACCCCACAGCTGCCATAAATAGGGAGACTTTTAGTGCCCCCGTCTCGGAAGTCACCCATTCCTGAGGTCGTTGTACCCTTGATATCAACTTGATACCTTGATGATCTCTCGTTTCATATTTTTCACACTGGTGACGCTATCTGCCGGGCTTCTTTGAAGGCCAGCACAGAAAATCAAGCAACAGCAGAGCACAGCACACGGCGGCAAGGGCTTGCGCTTGGTGCACATTCCGAATTCGCTTCAGAAAGCAATTTCAGTATGTCCTGGCGGCAGACTGTCATGCCCTGGTCAACATCGAAGACCGAGGCTGCGCAGAATCAGCAAATCATGGGAGATCATGGGAGTATGACCAGGTCATCAGGATATCCAGGATATCATGATCACCCATGATATTCTCCGTGCCTGGAACTTGGCAGTCCACCTTCACCAGCGGTGCTTGGAGGTCGCTTGGAGAAGGTGGGTTGGTGGTGGACACTAGCCATTGCATCATGTAATGGTTGGTATTCAATGGTACCTACTGGTTCTGAAAGATGGGGCTTACTGCCTATCTATTCTTCATCAATCAGTGGGAGAGGACATGTATGATCAGGACAAGGTATCACCCTCTTGGGGAAAAAACGAGAATGTGCTTCATGGTCATGCAACATAGCAAGAAAGTCAGCCATTTGGTAGATGTTCATGTCAACGTGAAGATTCCGGTGGGTAGCCACCAACAGCTTGGGAATGGTATGGAATGGTACTAATCAGTGCGGTTCTTTAGGATACAGAATGGGCTATTACAGGGCTATTTAAGGCCAAGGTTTCTCTAGACCAGGACTCACAGCATGTGTCACTTTTGACACCATGCAGTTAAGGTGGTGCCATGAAGTTTAACGGAAAGCACGAATTTCTTTCAAATTGAATTTAAGCTAGTTCCCCTTGGTAGGGTCCCAACCAAGATAGAAATCTGGTTCTGTACTATGTCGATGATGATTTACTCTACTGTCCTTTTTCTATGACTGGTTTTGACTTTCGCCACTTTCCCTGCATTTCTTTGGGGCCAGCCTCCAAACCCCGATCGGCGGCATACTCCAAGGCCGACCTTGGAGGAGCTGACATAGCTTGCTGGAAACTCAGACACCCCCATTTCTTGATTTCTGGGTCATCCGACTTGCCATCATTGTCTGGCAGCAGTGGGTTGCAGTCCGGATGAGCTGCAATGGCTGCATAGGACCTGGGAAAAGCATCATGACTTGATGACCAAAACATCCAACCCCAAAAGGGGACATGATGGGGACATGATGGGGACATGATATAATGAACAACAACCCACTTTTACCAACTTTTACCAACTGCCAAAAAGTCACATCCCATGTTTTGCTCTCCCAACTTCTACCGGCAACCGTCATTTTTGGGTCCCCGGACTCCTTGTCCCCACGCAGCGCGGCCAGGTGCAGCGGGGTGTGGCCCTTGTTGTCCTTGGCGTTGACGTCCAGACATCGGCCGCTCTCCACGATGGCACGGCAGCACTCGGGGCCTTGGGAGATGGATATGGGGGGTTTCATAGAAGATCCCCCAAGTCATCCATGTCATTAGACTCATTAGACCATTTTAGTATTGAAACCCATGGCATGGGGGTTTTGGGATCCATCATTTTTAGAAACCCCTCGTATGGGTCTCCAACCAAACAGTTGTAATCAGGTGTAGTCAATTCTCGTCAATCACAAAACTAGGTGTCAACCTAGAAAAACTGTGATGTGACCTCTATCTCTGGCCCCCTTCAGAATCTCTGCACTCTGGGCGCTTCGTGCGACGCTTGCCGGCGGCGAAATGCAAAGCCGTGGCCCAGAAGTCCTGTAGACATTTCTTTTGGATGAACAGCAGAAGTCTCACAGGGCCCCCAGAAGTCTCTTCACAGGGCCCCTACTTCGACATGGTTCCTAAACATGGTATACCAGGTATAGTTCTTGGCTGCCATGCCATCCCGGCTTAGCCAACTGGAGAATCTGCATGATCTAAGATGATCTAACCCATCAAATCTACCAGTTGCGTTGCCCACACTTCACCATTTCAATCCATGGATCACACCTGGATCTTCCTGGATCCCAGTTCTGGATTGTATTGGATTCACAGGCATAGGCGAACACTGGTCATTTTTTTATATCGTGTAATAATGAATGCCGTAGGATGCCTATGCATTCTGGTGGTATGGCAAAACAAAATGATTCACCCCCAGAAATTTGAGAATCGTCGGAAATCGCACCTTCTCTGGTCGGTCGACGCCCTTGAAATCCTTACGCTGACACATCAAAGCACAGAGCTCCTGCGGGCGCTGGTGAACCCAATGATGGGGTTGATGCTGGATGCGGTGCAAATTTTGCTTTATCTTTTTGCATGGCATCTTAACTCTACGTATGTGTAGGGAAGCACACATTTATTCAGTCACCCAATAAAGGTTCACCCAGAGTTGGGAATAGGTGGATGATTTCTTTCCATCGCTCCCAACACAGAGATTTTGATGGTTTTGGGCTGAACTTTGAAGTTTGATCGGATTTTTGTTTCTGAAAACACTGTTTTGCCGGTTGAAGCACTCCAAAGGTCTTATTCAACTCTTATATTTGCTAGTTAGTTGAGGATTCCGAGTTGATTTGGACATTGTATCTAAGCCTGGTAGTATTTCCCAAAATGATCATCAACTCCCAGTTCTTCATATTATTAAAAGTTTCAGCTCTATATCAGCACTATATCAGCTGATCTCCAGCAGTTTTTTCGGACCTCGAATCCCCGAAAGGCTGCCAGGTGAAGCAAGGTCCATCCCCGAGAATTCTCAGCGCGGGTCGGGATGTGGTTGGGATGTGCCAGGATCCAAAGGTCGATTTTTTGGGTTCCCCTGTTCTTTGGGATAAATCATGGAGATCAAGGATTATAAATTTATAATATCGAAATACACAGATATTCTATGTTTTTCTCATCATTTGCAAACCAAAACCATGTTTCAAAGTCGATCCTCTGTGCCAATGGGTTTGTCAATTCGAGATTCGCAGCATGGAAGGAATGTCAAGAAACCCAGCTTTCGGCACATGGAAACCAGATTTTTTTTCATCACCAGATGGAGGTTTCTAAGGTACCCAGGGTAGCCCTTTATCGCTGGATGGTTATGGAAAATCCCAAAGAAAAATGGATGATTTGCCCTCACCTCGAGACACTTCCCCTCTTGGATGGCCATTGGCCAGATAAAAACCATGGTGAAATCCCATGGAACATCCAGATTCCCCAGGTTTATACCATTGATTATACCGTTCATATCCCATATTTTCCCATATTTTCCCATATTTTCCCATATTTTTCCATGGTTTTCCATATTTTTCCATGGTTTTCCATATTTTTCCATGGTTTTCCATATTTTTCCATGGTTTTCCATGGTTTTCCGTGTTTTTCTATGTTTTTCCATAGCTTTTTCCATCATCATCCGAAGCACCGCCCTGGGCATCCCCAACCACTTCGTTCGTGAAGGGCCACAGGGAGCTCCGCGCCAAGGCCAAGGCGTCCTCGAGGCGATCGTCTTCCACCTTGGGGCTGACCATGTCATGGATATCAATTTATCATTTATTGAAAAGGTATACATTTCTTATCCCTATGGCCCTATATCTATATCTTCAATATCTATATCTATATCTATATCTATACATGTATCTATATATCTCTATATCTATATATATATAATTACATATTATGTTGTTTACTTGATTGTGTCACTATAGTTATTCATGCATCTGTTGAATTATACAGAAGTTACTTCAGAATTACCGATGCTTCGGAAGTTCACCGCTGGAATCTAACATAGAAAGCCATAGGAAAACAACACGTTTCGATGCTCATTTCCAGAGAGATCCCATGTTTTTCACGGGGTAGATGTAGCGAGACAACTGGGACAGTTTTTTGGATGAAGCATGATGAAAAAGTGTAAGGGATGAGGTCTTTTTATGGGTGAAACCTAGTGAGTTCACCAAGATCAAGAACAAAAAACCAAAAAGATGGGTATGGTCCACTGAGAGAATACAGGATGCTTCATGTACCGGATGACTCAGTGTCCCAAATTTCGGGATGTCGCTACAATGAAGTGATTGGTTGGAACCTACAATTCCTGGCATTCTGAAACCATCTGAAACCTCCGGTTCGATGTCAAAGCTTCGGAACAATCTTTGGGAGCAATTGACACGTGAGATCCCAACAAGAGTTCCCGTGAAAAATGCCACTCATTGGAGTGCTAACAGTCACGCTTAATGGGGCAGTTGATCTGAACCATGAGTTTGTTTTGTTCCTGATCTTGGTAGGAAAACACGACTTGTCACACCATTTACCCACCATTTACCCACCATTCCCAAATCTGAGCATCCCAGCTGCCTTGAAACCCGCCTGGTATCCCATGTCTTCCGGTAAGGGCGGCGGTGGTGGCCCTGGATCGCCATGTACTCGTCATATTTCGGCGGTCTGAAAACCACTATATGGGTATGGATCAATACCTATGAAAATACCCTTTTTAGTGGGATGAACATCCATAAATCCCAGCTATTTTGATGTGAACAGAAGGGGTACTATTGGTTTTGACACACTGCCATATAACTAAATGCAAGTCTTTATTGAAGCTACTTGGTCTGACATGGAAGTCATTGAAAGCTGCCTGTATTGCCACATTGATAATGGGTGGTCATCATGACTAGCATTGTCATTGTTAGTTGTGTTGTTTCTAATCTTGTCATTGTCAAGAACATCATGGCTATCAGATTATTGATTAACAACTGATAAGCATCAACAAGAAATGCTGTGGGTCAGTTGATGCTAATGATTATTCCCCACTGCTTGACAAGCCACTTGATGGTTACTAAGAGGCCAACCGTATCAACCATGATATTTTCATGATACTCTTGATAGTAATACCGAGTAATACCATGGTAATACCCGGAATATTTTTACGATTAATCACAACGATTTCACTTCATTGGATGATGAAAATTTCCGGGCACCTTCTTCGCCTTCTGAGCTGAGCCCTCCCTGCGATGGAGCACAAGATTCATGTTGTTCTACAATGAAACCATGCTTACGTTGGAACCTTAACTGAAGTAAAAGTGGGTGTAAAAATCAAAAAGGAAAAACACAAGAGATAACTATAGTAGACTATAGATAACTATAGATAACTAAGATAGTGATGGAAATGATCGTGAAGGGACTACATTGCAAATGGTATTCTGCAGACCAAAGGGCGACGGTTCATGAAGGTCGTGGATTTTGGCCAAACAGTTTTGGTCCAAGTGATTTCAGACGGCTGGATGTGGAACACCAGAAAATCTCATCAAATTGCGTAAAGTCGAACTGGGTTGAAACTTCAATGAAAGCGAGAAACCTTCCACGCACCACAGAAAAACATATTCTCTTTGATTTGGCGGTCCCTTTAAAAAAAATGATCTGCGTCACAGGAATCGTAAGTGGTCCAATGCCCGAGATTAGCTTCGCCAAGTTTGAACGGGGGTAAGCCTTAGTCCTGAGCAGACAAGAGACCCCAGTCGTTCTGTACATCAGAAATCATAAGAAGTCGTCCTCACTTTGAATAGGCGCTTTGGCCTTAAACCAAGAGAAGGACATCTAAGCCACACAATTATTAAGTCATCTGCTAAGTGCGAAGGAAGCATATCATGTATATTATTACTTTTTGACCACGTGTGATTCCTGGGATGCACATCCGAGTACCAAGCCATCATTTCCAGCCTCCTCCTCTACATCAGGATTCTCTGGAGAATCGGGCGCCGATGCCTGCTGAGGTCTGGATGTGATGAGCCAATGAACAGCAAAAAACTGTCAGATGGAGGGCTTTTCCAGCATGTTCCAACTAGATCTAGATACACCATGCAGTTGGCTGGGCCAACCTACCTAGATGATTGGAAGCTTCCCACCGAAAACGCAGAAGACCTATCATGACCTATCTTCGTTCAGTCGTCTACATGAACCACGGTGTTTGTGGGTTACCCTCCGGTAATCAAACATGGCAGTGGAAAAGTATCACGACCTTTGTACATCAAAATAATCAATTTTCAATGATACATCCATTATAATCATAGAACTGATCCCCACATCTTAATCATGATAATCATCATCACCATTTTTAATGATCATAAAAATGTGATGATAATAATTTTATAATAATCATCATTTTATTTAAAAAATATCATCACATTATAATCATAATGATCATATTAAAATCATAATAACCCATTGATAATCATCCCATAATTATTCCATAAAAACATCACATTATAATCATCAGGTGGTTAAAACAATGTCATAAACCATCCCCCAGTATCTCCCAGTCATCACCATTTTTATAGGTGGTATAAACCACAACCAAATGGATTTTCCAGCTTTCCATGTTGTATCACCAGTCCAGTTGTATGGTCCTCCCAGCCTGGGCATCTGGAGAGGTTGGCTCGCCAGTGCTGCCCTCGCCATTGCCGGTGATTGGGATGTTCTCTGGTTACTAAGAAACTCGGGTTATATATACAGTAATATGTGATATATATATATATATATATTACATATGGGATATTATGACATACTATTGGAGTTGGAGGAAGAAAGACCAATCCGAAATTTCCGATAAACCAGCACTTCAGTGTTTGTTCACCCAAAATGCTGATGGAAAAGAGGAGATAGGCGAGACGACCCGCCCAAGCTCTGCCAGATCTGTTTGGGTTGTCCCAGTCGACTGTCGATGCCGTTAGATGTTTCAAATATTGTTGCTTTATGTTGCTTTCTTACTATCCCATCTTCAGTGGTAAAATTCTAAGTGACTGCAGCTTGAAAAATTCCCGATTGTTTTGCATTTCGCCACAGGTGACTGGAAGACCATATCTGGTGTCACAGAGAGATCCCACCTCCGCAGAAAAACCTGGCGCAGCTCTGTTGACTGTTCTGTCAATGCTTTGCATGGGATACCCCAAAAAACTATTCATTCGGGGAAGATCAGAATACAGCGTGGAATTTTGAAGTTCTTGGTGAGAACCCCAAAGACCCAACGACTCCATCAATTGGGTTAAAACAATGTCTGGGATATGTTCCATTCCATTAGACCCTCACATCGATTCGCGAAAGGACTTTGGCTGGACCATTGTCGCCATTGTGGCATGTCGCAATGTCGCTAGATCTGTATGGCTGGTCAAATGCCACACCCAGGCTCACAGATTATGAGATCATTTTGCGAATTGCTGCGTTGCTGCGTTACAAGTACCATCTATTCCTTCTGCCCCATTCAAACCCCTGTTCATTGGGGTGCAGATATACATATATATATATAATATACACAAAAAATCTGAAACAATAATAACAATAATAATATTATTATTAATAATAATAATAATATATATATATACATACACACTCATTACTAATCATTAATACTACTCCATGTGTTGCTAGCCTAGCTCCGAGGCTCAGTCTCCACTTGGCGCCTGCGTCAGACCTGTTCTCGCAGTTCTCGATGTCCTGTCGGCTTTCGTTCTGGAACTGTGGTAGACAACCACCCTGATTCAGTTCAAAACCATTCAAACATGAAACATTCCAAATTCTAAGTATTCTAAGTATTCAACCGTTCAAAACCAACTTCTAAGTATTCTAAGTCCTCTAAGTATTCAAAGATTTGAAACAAGAGTGCTGAGTGACAGCTGAAGTCAGCATGAATCCCCATCATTTGAGGGTACAACTTCACTGCAGCATCTGGAAAGGCTAGCAACGTCCTGAGAGTTCTTCCGGCTGGTTCTTCTATCCTGGAAAGAGGAGATGATGGAGATGTAATTTCATTCCAAAGAATTTCGGTAGTCTGGAAACTGAGTCAAAAAAAATTGACATGGCATAACAACTGATGCTGTATTCCCCCAAACTTCCCGCGGCATATCTTCCATCTAAATGGCTACATGCTTAGCCATTCACCAGCCATTTGCCAAGGTTTTCTTTGGTTCAATTCCTGGTTTTGCTGATTTATTCATATTCATTCCACCTTGCTATTGCTTAAATCCCCACGTCTCTGGATTTAAACCAGATCTGCTGTTGCTCAATTCTTGATCAATCCCCCTTTCTGAAAGTTGCTATCCCCAAAGATTTGGGCTTATTTTTTTCATGTTAAATCTCCCAATGGTTGTTTTTTTCCATGTTTTTTTTCATGTTGAATCCCAATTTTTAATCAATGGATTGGTTTGAGGGAAAATCTACAGGAAACCATAGATTTTCCCATTAAATATGGGGCTTTCCTGTAAATTTTCCCTTAAACCAATCCAGTGATTTAAGGATCAAATCTGTTGGGTGAAGTCACTGCACCTCAGTAGACCCGGAGACTTGCCGCGAGAACAACTTGGAGCTCTGCCGGGAGCTCTGTCCTCATATGGCAATGGCATTTTAGCTCCTTGGCTCCCCATTTTCGAATCTTTCATTGGAAATATGATAGAATATCTGGTTGGTGGTTTCAACCCCTCTGAAAAATATGACTTCGTCAGTTGGGATTATATTGTTCCCAATATATGGAAAAATAAAAAATTGATGTTCCAAACCACCAACCAGATATGATAGACTATTGATACATGATACAACAAAATAGCTGGTAAATGGATGTTCATCCCCTAAAAATGGTATTAATAGGTATTGATCCATAGCCATATTGATACATGATAGAAGCCTAGCAGATCCTGCACTCACGGCTCCCTCCCCTGCGGTTTAAAGCGTCGCGAGCTCATCCGCGAAAGGCGCGACGCACTGTTGGAGGCGCCACCAGAGGAGCGGCGACGGTCCTGGTTTTTTGGGACCCCTGGGAGGGTCGAGGATTGATCCCAAAAAATGGACAAACGTTGTTATTTAGAGAAATTATTCATCCAAAATTGGTACCCAAAATTGGTACTTGAAGAATATGGAATATATAAGAGCTTCTTTCCCATTGCCATCTTAAGTGGGAAAATGGTGGTTTCACTATGCAAAATGGGGACGAACCAACCAAAACTGGGGGTTGAAGCAGCAGAAATGCAATGGATGTGGTGCGAATGCGTGGAGCGCAACTTGAATTTAGGCTTTGACCAAGGTCGCCAAAGATGTTGGTGATGGTTTCAAGGCATCTCGAAAAGTATCAGTCCGTTGGGAGAATCATGCCAACTAAGGTTAAAACATGTTAAACATAGACCATAAATACTTAGAACCATCAATCAGTCAACACAGGGCGACTAGAAGTTCTTTGTTTCGATGAGTCAATTGGCAATGTTCAGCCCTTCTCAGCCAGCAACTTGGCTGCCGGCCCGATGCCTCCCCCTGCTTTTTCAGTGACGAACGCTTCCCCTGCGGAGGATCATCCAGTAGTGAAATCGCAATGGGTTGTCATCACATGTCATCACCCTTCTGATCCTAAAGTTCCTGAATGGGATACATATGGTTGCATCACGTTACATCCCATTTATCAGCATTTTTTGGTTGCAAAGACAATTTTGGTTTGTATACTCCATGTTTTCTAAAAGTTCCATTTCTACCAGCGACTCGCGGGATGATCCTCCAAATAAATTACCAATTGGCGTCCGAAAACCTCCAAGTCGTTGGGGAAATCATCGAGAAATTTAGATACCAACGGTTAATTTAACATTGCAAGGTCAGGTTTTTTCGCTGAGCAAGTGGATCATATTATATGCCTGCTTGTGAGTAGCATAAGTCAGTCCCGTTCTAAGGGTCCATTAACTTCTTACTCACTCTCATGAACGCAGTAACAGCCCGTTCACCATCACATCCAACATAATCCAAGACTCTGAATCTACGAATCTCGGGTCAGTTTTTGTTGCAGATGTTAGTAGCAAACAAACGTTTTCAGGGGATATAGGGATATCCGTATCTTATCTGCCTTGTTCAGCGTCATTTGTGTTTGTTGCCAACCCGTTGCTGCTTCAAGCTTCATCTGAGTTGAAAACAAAGGACCTCAAAATCTCATGGTTTGAAGCCATTGTTTAATGCAATCAAAGTAAACTGAGCACCCTATGCCTCATCCCATGTGTGCCTCTTTCATCCATGTTTTCGAAGAAGAAAATTGCCACACTTCCCCGACTTCGGGTTTCTCCAAAAATCAGATCATTTCTCCGAAAGCTCGCAATATCTCATAATTGATGATCATTTTCCCACATCAATGGTATTTCCCCCATTTTTTCGCAGCCCATGTGGTGACTGAAAGTGGCGCCTCTTTCAACGAGGAGCGTGCTGAACCCGATCGGTCGCCGCCCTGGCAAGCCATCCGTGGTATTTCTGATATGAAGCCGCCGACCCCCGCCGCAGAGGAAGAGGAACATTTATTTGTACATATTATACATAATTAGTATACATATATAATTATACATAATAAATTATAACTATAACCTCTATGCTCATTAAATCTCATTGCCATCTTTGCGACTGCATTTCTGTTCTCTTTGGAGATCCACAGTTCCCAGCAACCGGGGCCTGCGAGGAGCCTCGGGAAAGGGAGCTGCGTTTATCCTGCCGCAGCCGCTTGGTACGATTGGATACAAAGATCATACTATCCTGTAGCAATCTATAATCATTATAATCATAATCTATAGAATATATCATGAACAGTTCGGTAAATATCGCTAAAAACAGTTTGGGGCTCCTATCAAATTATATGGTTTGGTGCACTTTCTCCGTAGTAAAGTGATCTGATTCAATTAATTGGATCAGAGATCGCCTCGCATGCCTGGTGTCACCCACCATGACATCCCACGCTGCCAGATCTGGGATCTCCTGTGAAGCCGCGGAGCCGCGCTTTTCCTGGCGTTTTGGGTGATCCCGTTTTTCCTGTCCATTAAACGGCAGTTTGTAGGGCAAAAAGATGCAAAAAGGCTGAAGAAAACCTCCAAAAAACCGGGGGAGATTCGCCTTGGAACCGCCTCGCCTGCCGGGTTTCAACCTTGGACGGGAGGATCATCCAGTTTCCGATTCCTGGTGATCACTCATGGAGAATCACTAGAGTCACTAGAGAATCACTGAAATAATGATTTCAATTAGCTAAAGAAATCCTACATGTCATATGTCTGGTCAGCAAATCAGGAAACAATCAGAAATTCTGACTTGACCGATGCACGCAATTGGATTTTGCTTCCCAAAGCCCCTTTCCGAGGCCAATACCGACCCTTCGTCGCCTTTTCCACTTTGGTCTGTGCGAGTCGGGCGGTGCCATGCTTTGCGACATCTGACATGATGCTGGAAACCCCAAACCAACACCCACACCTAATTATAATGCGGGAAAGTATAGAGAGATACATTTTACTAACCTGGTTGGTGGTTTCAACCCCTTCCGAAAAATATGAAAGTCAGTTGGGATTATATTGTTCCCAATATATGGAAAAATATAACATTGATGTTCCAAACCACCAACCAGTAACATATGGTTTGGGATGTCCCCGTTCTTGCCGTTCCAATCCCAGCTATTTAAGCGATGAATTGTCCACCAGGGTTTCACCGCTCGGCGGTTCCTCCTCGGGTGGCGTTGGTGGTGCCAAGACTTGCAGCTCCAACCTGGAGATTCAGAAAAGCTGTAGATTTCACCAGACTGAAACTTAAAGCCGCTCCAAACTTGGAGACTTTCAAATGACTTAATCAAATTTAATCAAATTGAATCAAGTCCACAAAACCTGAGGTCTTGATAAGTCATGGCTGTCTGCTTTCAACATCATCCAATCATAGGGAATCTTCTCCATGACTATGTCGACTATGTCATCCAACCATGCCGGAAATAGGGGATTGCTCCCCACTCAGCACGTTAACAAACCAGCCCTGGTCACAGGCCTGCTGGGATGCGAAACAAAGGATTTGAACCACCAAACATGTACCACCAATAGATCAGAATAGACAAAGTATAGACAGGAATCAACCAATATCAACCATACTTCAACCATACTTCCATCATCCCCGAGGCTCTTTTAGAGGTGCATTTCAATGTGGATCCGGGTAGATCCCAGCCGAGTCGCTCAGGCATTGGATTGATGGCCTCAGGACGAGGACTTGACTCACTTGACCCACAGGATTTTCTCGCCAAGCTGCACCTATGGCTATCATATGGCTATCATATGGCTATGATATGGGGGCCTCCAAAAGTGTGCCCCGAACAAAAAGTCGCCGTCTGATGGATGATGATTTAGGATGAGATTTTGGGATGCCCTGTTTTCAGACCAACCCGGCAACCCGAAATCGTCCAACTCTTGTTCTTCTCCATTGGCGCCGTTGTGTAAAAACGATGCACCGCTCTGTGTCGGCCGCTCTGTGTCGAGCACCGTATTCGTCCAGGTGTAGAGATCGTGGGGAAATTGGCGATAGCGAAGGTATGAGCGAACAATGAGGGGATACCCATGGCCCATGGATACCCCATATAGATGGAATCCATGGAATCCATGATGGATAGGACCCTGGATGTGACCACTGATACCCTCATGACACTTTTTTGTTGTCAGAATAGACTGGAGAAACAACAAATCACCGAATTCGGCTTCAGAAATCCCAACCCCAAAGCAGCCCAAATCAGACGTTCAGGATGTGAATGCTATTTTCGACGATGTCATTGGGGTCACCAAAAAGGAAGCATCCCCAGAACTCCACGCAGCACACGCAACGCGTCATGGAAACGACAAGATATGGTCCGCAGTGGCTCAGTCAATGCACCGTTTAGGACTTCATGTTTCAATTTTGAGTACTGTCTTTGTGTGCCTGTCTATCCACAAGTTGGCTCAAACTATCATACCCTGGATGGTGAGATCTGCCAGGTTCCTGTAGTTTACCACTTCCTTTTAGCCAAAAAAACATCATTTCCTCAGCTGTTTCCACAACGAAAGCATCACCTCCTGGTGTTGCTATCTTTGTTCAAACATTCTGGACGGTTGATCACCGAGTGGCTCAAAATCCGGCAATTTGGCGTTCCCAGGCTGGTTGAAACACGATGTAGATACACCTCGAATCCCCCATTGATCCATTTGGTGGCTGATAAATACCATGCCTTTTTTGTGGTTCAGTCGCCTCATGGAGTTCCTAGGCGAATCCCAGGCTGCCCCTGCCGGCACATCTCTGAGAGTCATGGCACAACCCAGGAGCTGCCAAAAAGCTGGTGAAAATCAATGATACTCACGTACCAAATGTTGGATGAACAAATCGTAAGAACAATTTAAGGTCTCTTGAAAAAAAACTGTAACATGTTGGATGGGAAACAAGTAACTCTATCACGTTACAAGCCACGGATCAGTAGCATCTTCTTGCCCCGATTTTGGGTCTTGGATGCAGAACTTTAGCCTCATTTTTCTGCTTGTCGTTTGGGTTGTAAGTGATGCTTTTTTATATGTACCCCATTCAACCATTGACCATGCCTCTGGATGTTCACTCCATGGCGATCCATGGCTCTCAGCTGGACAATTTGACTGTGCGGCTGGGATATTTTCGGTGACCGGCAATGGAGAACTGGGGGCCCTGCTGTCTTGGTTGTTTGTGGAATATGTCCCTTGAAACCCACCTCAATTTGCCTGAAAATGGGATTATACACATCAAAGAGCCATTTTTGTGAGACATAAGTACAACGCCAATGTTATGATTCACCATCAACCATCAAGGTTGTGGATGTTTTGTCCATTTTCCCAAGATTCTCAGATATTCTCAGACAACCCCACCTAGCAACTTGCCTTCAGTTCTGGTGCGCCCAGCAATACCACGCCTAGCCACCTCTTTCTGCCTGCACTCCGCTTCAGAGTCGCAGGAATCGCAGCTGATGTAGTGACGAGCTGGGCGGCTGCACCATAAATGGCGCTTATCCACTTGAATGGAGTATAGTATACTGTATAGGAAATAGTCCCCATATGACCGCCCAAAAAAAACTGATGATGTTTGATATTTTCTGGCATAAATACCTTCGCATTCTCGGCAGTTCAGGTTTCTGGTCCAAGCCTAAATTTCTGGTTTAGTAAGTTGCTCATGTGTGACGCCAAGCACCACTTCCGTCAGCAGCGGGTGAATTCAGCTGAGTCAAAAAGGGGTCACAACTAGCGGTCATGTGTTTGGATTAGGACGCAAAGGTACTTGATTCATCCAACTAAAGCAATGAGATCCATGGTGAGTACAAATCGAAATCGGATAAAGCAGAGGTTGACGATTCGTTCAAATGGGGACATGGGAGTATAACCTTGGGCTTTAGTTGCCCGCGGACTGCAGGCTTTGGCAAGTGTGAGTACGGAATCTCACCAACCTAAAGATAGAATTGTGAACACCCAACTGCCACGTTTTTGCCAGCGTTTGGCTGAAAACATCCGATTTCACTACATATGCCATACATATGCCATACCTGTATGGAGTTCTGAAGTGTCATTGCTCCTACTGATGGAGACCGTATGATTGTTGCACCCCCTTGGCACCATTGCGAGCCGGGAGACCCCGGCTGGGGCTGCTGATTCTCGAGGATTCTCGACGTTGTGAAGATCTGCTAAAATCAGTGGCTTGTGTTTTGATATTTTCATTGTGATAGGGAAAGAACATGATTTTTTGTCCATCAACTGCTGGTTCTTTTCAGAGAATTTTCAAAACTTGTTCACGTTGGAAGCCTTGGAAGCAGGGATATACTCTGGGGCTGATGTCCAAAGATTCCAAAGGTTGAAATTGCTCATGAGTCCATTTAGCACTCGGGTGAATGTTCATCCCCCACAAGGATGGTCGCAGGTATTGATTCAGTATTGGCCCATCCCCAAACCATCGGAAGGAACAGCTGCTTGCTGGTCACCTAAGCTCAGCTACTATGAGTAACTAGTCCAATGGCACTTTTCCTCGATTGAAAATCAGCCTTGCGCATCCAAACTTTCATTCGTTGGTTTCGAGCGAAAACCAGTTCTGGGCACTCTGGGCATGCACGCAACCACAGGACGAAGCGTGAAAGCACAGCTGCAAAATTCAACATCTACATGCTGAGTATGTGGGTGACATATGGTGACAATATAACCAGGCCTTACAACCGGTTTCTATATGGCTTCGTCACCCAAGAACATTTGCGTCACCAAAACCTATCCTTTGTCCTTTGTGATGTCTGTCTCTTCGAGGGTATGTGGGCTTTGCAGCGAAACTTACCTTTTTAAATCCTAAGAATTTCAGGGATCAGATCGGTCGATTGCAAACACTTACAGTATCAATTATCAACGAGAAATGAACGTAAGCTGAGTCAAACATTGGGGAACGAGCCACAGAATTTTGCAGAAGTTGATGCTGATCGGCAAATGGTTGATCAAAAAAGCATCGATATATTTGGATGTGCATCCCACTTAGTAACCAGTGTGCAATCCTTTCGCAGCTTCACAATTCCTTTCGATATCCCATTTAAGCAACCCAGGGAAGAAATGAATCATGATTCTGAATTATGATTACCAACCAGTTATCTACTCCTTGTTTGGGTTTATGTATATATATATATATGAAACAATTCACCATATCTGCTGGCTGAATCCATCATTCCTGGTCTTTCTGGCTATCCCCAATATCATTTCCATCACGATAGCATGACAGTCACCCCGTCCCGCCAAAAGCTGCCCCTGGCGAGTCGTCGAGTCGTCGACTCGTCAGGTACGCTCGGCGTCCATGCCTTCGTCACTTCGGGTGTCACAAATGTCCAAGAATCGGGTAGCATACCCAGCATACCCCCCAAAACCCAATGATTGAGATGTTGAGATGTTGATATGTTGATATGTTCCCCAATTCAAAGTCCCCAATCCAAAGGGGCAGGCTAAAAAAATGCCCCATTTCTCAACAAACCGATTGAGCAGTGAAACATGGAGGAGTCATTTTTCGTTGCATCACCCTGCGGGATTAGTGGTGGCCCCAAGCGACCAGTGGACTTCATGGAAGTGACACGAAAATTACCCCGAAAAACCTGGGTAACATTAGATCCTCCAAACTATTCAGAGATATTCATTGTATTCATTGTATTGTATCTCTCCCGTTTTTTTGACTGCTGTGATGCTATGAACATATATTAGGGTTTGTCAATTTGTCAAAGAAAATCCAATGGATGACGATCATCTGCCCCAAAATGATCGAAATATGGAGGTACCAATTTCTTCCAGATCAGCCGACCAGCTCTTCAGATTGAGCTTCCGGACCCTTTAAGGCATCTTTTAAAGCGTTCCTGGAGGTAAGGATAGGACCGACGTGAGATATGCAGAGATATCTTTGTAGCGACATTGTGAGCCATGTCTTATATAAGGACGGCAATGGATTTGGAGTCACCCGACGTCTCTGGTTTCAATGGTTCCCCATCATAATCGTGGGTACCCTGGCGACGCCGGCCCCGCTTTTTCGCGGGGTGGGATCCCCTATCCGATGGAATGTGATCCATTCAATAAACCTGAAATTGTGGCCGAACAGGCCCCCATTTTTGGGACAGCAATGGAATTGCTCATCTTCAGAAGGAATTGGTTGGATTGGTTGCCTCAGGTCCATGCGGGTCCTGCCCCAGCACTTGTTGAAGTCGCCTCCTTCAAGTCCAAGCCTCTCCCCATGTATCAAGATATCTCCATCGCTTGGAGAAAAATATGGAGCATGTGTACCAAAACAGCTTTAGTTCACAGAACGAAAAACATTGGGGCGACAAGCAAAATGGAGGTACCAAATCACCAAGACATTCAAGTTATTTTATTTTTCCCATTCTATCTCCTTTAGTTTTGGGTAGACAAGCATCCCAGATCCATGAATGCATTGGGGGATATTTCTTTATCAGGGTTCCTTACATTCTCTCAACTTAAAATATCTCGGTTAGGGATGGGGGTTATTTGCATGATTCAAACCGCCGAATGGGGAAAATTTACATGGACCCCTGAGAACTGCGTTGTCTTTTCTGACTAGTGGGGATACAACCAGAAAGCTTGACGGACCAGAGCTGGGTCCTGCACCAAAAAATCCTAGGAGAGTGGAACACTTGGATAGATGATACATGAACAACTTCTACATCTATGCAGATGCAGATGCCTATCTGTC